ATTCTTTAATCTGTTTAATTATTTACTCGGAGATCCCAATTGATATGTTCATCTCACCTCATATCGTTGTCGGAATTTCTCTTCATGCAACAAATCTCCTTCCTTTCTTAATTAAAAAAGACTGCATTTTCTCGTTTTTATAATGCACAAACCCCGAATCTTTTCCAAATTTAATTCAATTGGCTGTTAATTCGGCCGTTACAAATTTAAAAAAAATCTAGTGGCTCCACCTGACATTCAAAAGCAAAAAGTCAAAAACAATCGACATCACTCGCTAAGGATACGTAATTTCTTCGACATAATTTAATCTCGAGTGTATATCGCATATTCCCAACTGAATAATTATTAGTACACAATACGCGTAATTATCGATGGACGCTAATCGAAACACGTCCATCGACATTTATTATCTGTTATTATCTTTCAATGTTTAATTATTCTCGTCGTTTCGGCATTGTAGTTATTAATTGTATTGTAATTGCTTCCTCTGATAATTGGGAAATATAGCGTATATTCGTGACTACTTTTTAACTTTTTTCAATTTCTTCTTCTGATTTGTACAATAAAAAAATTTCCGCTGAAAACAATTTCGTCCGAAGCGTATACGAAATATATTTTTATTGAAGAGATTTAGGAACAATCGAAGTTTGCGTTACACGAATAAAGCTGTTCTATGTGTTTTTTTTCTAGTCGCATATCTAAGCAATTTTTAGTTCTTTTCACGCATTCTCTGGATGGTCGTAATTGCAGATGTAATGAGGTCCCGGAGCTTTGCCAAAGACTTGGATAATGGTGGCACATAAACCGTGTTCTTTAGATACTCCAACAGAAGAGAATTCACACGGCGAGTGGTCCGAACGCTTGCAAAGTATCGATACAGAGTTTCATCGTTGATTCAAGTCCATTCCAGCGGTGGGGAAGTTCTGCGTTCGAGTACGACGCATCTCCGTATGCAGCTCAGAAGCTCCATTCTTCGTTAAAGAAAGTAATAGGAAAGTCTTTTGTTTCGTAGCCACAATTTTGACAACGACCGTCGAATGCCACTTGGTGTGTAGCGAGGAAATCTTCATAACTGCGCTTCAAATTTCGAGAATTTCGCTATTGATTCGTGTCTAGAGTGGATACCCAGCGCGATATTTTGAAATTACAGAACTTTAAGGCCCCGACTACTTGTTTATAATACCTCTGTATATTGAAGAGATTGGATATCGAAATAATTTTAAAACAATTAAATAACCACCATTTTTTTAATTAGTATTCATTCCTATTAATAATTTTCTGTAAATCTGCAGACTTAAAGATAAATGTTTAAATTATAATGGGTAAAAACAAATAAAGAATACTTATAAAGTCCAAAAACAATTATGCCGGCATTTGTAAGCGTTCATATTGGATATCAAAAGCTGCAGTCTCAATTCAGATTTCAATAATTTACAAGTTTCTTCAAGTGACATTAGAATAATTTACAGTTTGGTGCGATATAAAATGGCTTTAAAGTAGACTTATGTAACAAAGAAGTTTTGTTAGTAAAAGGAAAATCCTGACAATTATAATATTGAATTTAAAGGATGAGATGAGGCTTTCGCGTAAAACATTTCCAAGTAAAAATTCACTTTTCAACTGAAATAAGGAAGAAATTTATATTTTTTATACGATAACCTAGAAAATATATATAAACGAATATTATAAATTCGATAAATATTTACTAAATTCAAATTAGATAATAAGTGAAACGTTTCTGATTTCCCGTACTTCGACCTAACGACGTGTCTGAAAGGTTCTGATTTATGTTTAGGCCGTAAGGTTGGAACCAATGTTCCTTTTGAATCAAAGTTGATGTTGACCTCCCTCGTGCCAAGATATCGAAAACACTTATCGGATCACAACAGTTAATTACTGGCTCATTAAATTAATGAAAGCGCAAATAACTTTATCCCATTTGATTTTTACATTTCTCAAAACTGGCCTGTGGTATTCTGTCAGATCGTATGTATGTTTAAAATTTATTCATTTTAATAAGAAGAAAAAGCCCCCTGTATTGTTTGTAAAATAGCAGGAAAAAGCCAATTTCGAGATTCTATATTCAAAGCTTAATTTTTATTATTTTGTTTTGTGGTATTCTTTGAAGCACATAACAATTCTTCAGAAGAATTTCCAGATACGAATACTTTTTAGATGTTGGAAGTGAGCTATTTACTTGTAAGCAATTGTCTTAAAAGCTGAAAGCTTTGCTTTTTCTAGGGAATTCACATCGAATAATGTATGTTTAATAAATAAAATTTTAAACAGTTTTTTTAAGAGAACAGAAAAGGAAGAAGTGGTCATAAACAATTGTTTTTAATAATTAATATAAACACTAAAATAGGGTGGTTAAGATTACGAAATGATCTCAATTTATTCGTTAAATTTAGTAAATATTTATCGGATTTATTAAATTCATTTATATATTAACTAGGTTATCGTATAAAATATAAAAATTTCTTACTTATTTCGGTTAAAAAATTACATTTTTACTTGAAAAGATTTCACGTAAAAGATTCATTTCATCCTTTAAATTCAGTATTATAATTGTTAGGATTTTCCTTTTACTAACAAAACTTCTTAGTTACGTAAGTCTGCGTTTACGCCTTTTTTATATCGCACAAAACTCCAAATTATTCTATTGTCAATTGAAGAAACGTGTAAATTATTCAAATCTGAATTGAAGCTGCAGCTTTTGACAAGTGCCGGCATAATTGTTTCCAAACTTTCAAACATTTTTAAAGCTCAGTAACTTCAAACTATAGCACTTGGCAATACAATCCAAACACGAAACAGAAGAAAACTTTCCATATTTGAAGCACACTTACGACTATTTCCTTGCCACACACCAAGTGGCATTCGACGTTCGTTGTCAAAATTGTGCCTACGAAACAAAAGACTTTCCTATTACTTTGTTTAAGGAAGAATGGATCTTCTGAGGTACATACTGAGGTGCGTCGTACTCGAACGCAGAACTCCCCCACCGCTAGAATGGACGTTGAATCAACGATGAAGCTCTGTATCGCTGCTTTCCATTCGTTCAGACCACTCGCCGTGTGAATTCTCTTTTGTTGGAGTATCTAAAGAACACGGTTTATGTGCCATCATTATTCACGTCATTGGCAAAACCCCGGGACCTCATTACATCTGCAATTACGATCATCTGGAGAATGCGTGAGGAGAACTGGACAACTGCTTAGTCATGCGACTAGAAAAAGAACACACATACAACAGCTTTATTCGTGTAACACAAACTTCGATTGTTCCTAAATCTCTTCAATGAAAGTTGGGGAAATACGTACAAAATGACATAGGCAGCATAATTCGAATTTGGCGATCTTAAGTGCGCAACTGACCATGATACCACGTTATCCGAGCAGCTTTTACTAACCTGTAAAAATGTGAACACGCTCCTCTCATTTGCCCGGTTGTCATGGCCGACAACAAGAAATGACACGTTATGAGTTTTTTTCCTTGCAACAAATTTTTTGTATAGATGATAAATTTTTCACTATTTTATCTATTTGTGTAGCATTTATTTCAACCCTCAAGAATTTGTTGTTGCACTTAAATAACTTTTTCCATTAAAAATAACATNTTTGTATGGATGATAAATTTTTCACTATTTTATCTATTTGTGTAGCATTTATTTCAACCCTCAAGAATTTGTTGTTGCACTTAAATAACTTTTTCCATTAAAAATAACATCTTTGTATTTATTTTATAATTTTGATTTTTTATAACGTTATATGAACACAACGACATACATAGGCAACGGGCATAATGACATACCTGTCATTTAGTCCATAAGAGCTTAGTCAAAGAACTTACCTTAACCTCTTAACGTTTTATTAATTATAAAAAATGGCTTCCAAACAAAGTCTTTCATTATTGTTTAAAAGAAATATTAGTATAAAACTTTATTTCCTTTCTTACGTATTATTTACAAACTTATTAACTTTTACATAACAAAAAACTTGCAACGAATCACGTGACTCGACAAACCTCTTTAGTTTTAACTTCTACTCCTAATATGAAGGCAATTAAATCAAAAAATGAGTCCAAAGCTCCGCCAGAGAAAAGGAGGCGAAACATTAATAAAAAGCTACTTGAAGAAGAAAATTTTCCTGATAACTCTCATGATGATGATGAAGATTGTCCATGCATGTATTGCAATGATCTTTTTTCCCGATATAAGCCTGGAGAAGACTGGTTACGGTGCTTAAATTGTTTCCGTTGGGCTCACGCTTCTTGCGCTGATGTTTCATTTGTGAACTTTGTCAGTAATTTTATAGCTTTTACGTGTATGTCATTTTGTCCTTACGTAATATGTCATTTTGTCCACAGTATATGGAGAAAATGGATTTTGGATGATCTCGATGAAACTAACAATATTTTTTTTCTATTATCTTGATATTGTAAATGTTTAGTATATTTTATAGGTAACGAACCAAAGATGATTGGTGTAGAATATGGCAGTGCTGTGTTTTACTAATAAAGAGTTATGAACCTAAAACAAAACCGTATGTCATTTTGTACGTATTTCCCTTATATTTCGTATACGCTTCGGACGAAATTGTTTTCAGCGGAAATTCTTTTATCGTATAAATTAGGGGAGAAAATTGAAAAAAGTTGAAAAGTAGTTAAGAATATACGCTAAATTTCCAGTTATCAAAGGAAGCAGTTACAATACAATCAATAACTACAATGTCGAAACGACGAGAATAATTAAGCATTGAAAGATAATAACAGATAATAAATGTCGATGGACGTTTCGATTAGCAATAAATAATTACACGTATTGTGAACTAAGAATTATTCTAATTATGACTATGCGATATACACTCCAGATAAAATTATGTTGAAAAAATTACGTATCCTTAGCGGTGAGGTCGATGATTTTTGAACTTTCCAATTTGAATGTCAGGCGGAGCCACTAGGGTTTTTTTTAAATTTGTAACTGACGACTTAACCGCCAGTTCGATTCAACTTGGAACAGAAGATTAGGAATTTGTGCATTATAAAAAGAAAATGCAGACTTTTTTTAATTAAGAGCGGGAGGAGATTAGTTGCAAGGAAGAGAAATGCCGACAACGATAATGTTGAACTTATGAGGTGAGACGAACGTTTCAATTGGAATATTTCCGAGTAAATACTCGAACAGATTAAAGAATTAGGATATTTTAAAGATTTAGCCTACAGTAGTACCTCAGGATACGAAATTAATCCGTTCGGAAACTTAGATCGTGTCATGAAAGTGGTGAAACTTTTACCCCCCATACGATTACATGTAAAACCAAATAATCCATTCCAACACGAAAAACGCACTCAAAGCTAAGTGGTAAAATTCATTCATTGGAATTCATTCATTGGAAAAAAATGACTTTAGTAAGGAAAACACTGAAAAATGCGTTTTGTAGTTGTTAATGTATAAATAGCCATAATAGAATAATAATTGATAAAATAAAGATAAGTTAG